GGTATTATTTTTTGACTTTTTATAATTTTTGATTTTTCTTTTCATGTCTGCGGGACATAAGTACCTACATGGAATAATAAACAAAGCTATAACTCTTTAATTATTTGATAAGTATATTGTATATCCTAGGGTGGCTTAGAGCGCCAAAGGAAAATATTATTACTAGCTGTCGCCCGCGACTTCGCCCGAGCGGAATTAAGAAAAACTTAATTAGTAGCCTATGTGTGTGCCAGACCATGTTCAATATTTTAAATTGCTTATAACATAAAGATTGATAAAACTAAAGAATTATTAAGAGAATCTAAATTGATGTCAGAACTGCATCGTTAAACCTGGATGAAAACAATGATGGGGCATAAATTATGTGGTGTATGTTGCAATGAGGTAAACCTGTCTACATAACTTGATAGGCTAGGTTAAAATAAAAGGCCAAGTGCGAGTCGGACTCGCGCACCGAGTGTTCCATATAAACTTGTTGGTTTAAAAGTTAAAATTTTCAATTTTCCCAATTTTTCCTTTATCTGTGCTAAAATTTGTTTTATTGTCGTTGGTTCGTATCAAATTTTAAGAATCTGAGTTCAAGGGTACTCTGTAGGTTTTGATTCCCTTGCGAGTGTCGAAAATTTACGGCATAAACGGCTGTATCTTTTGATTGCGTTGGCTTAGAATTTTGACTTTTTCGCAGCTCCAACGGACGGTAGACCTGAGTTTTTGGTATAAATTTCATCGTTCAGGACGATGTGGCTTCCGCTTCTTCCATTCAAGGTACGGAACACTAAAAATTTAGGACCTGTGGAAGGAAAACCAAAACTGTATAGTAATTTCCTGACCCACAGTTTGGTGGTAACTGGTTAATCCTACAATAAATAATGTGTTATTAATAACAATTTATTAATATTTATTATCTAAAAGAAAATACGTTGGTCACAAATTCATACTTTGAATTCAATAATTAATGTTTACCAAGACATTAAAAAAATATTTACTAAATAATTAAATCCGATTAAAGTTAAAGGCATACCGATATTTTCTCGTTTCAATTGACAATTATTGCATGTAATTGCTGTATCCAAAATATACGAGTATGAAACTCATTCAGTACTACAATCGATAGCTCGGCTCTCAGCAGTAGTCGGGTTTAATTACCGACTTCGTCGTATTTTCTCAATCAATGGATTGCAATCCAGCTCTGAATAGTGCGGCTCTCGATTAAATGACGTCTGATTATTGTGCATTTGCAGTACCAACGTAATTGCTATTATTCCATTAATCGTGAGTTTCTGAGGCCAAAATCCAAGTTTGAAACATTTCATACTTCATACTCATACTAATTACTTTACTAATATAATAAATGCGAATGTTTGGATGGGTGTTTGTTTAAAGGTATCTCCAGAACGGCTGAACGGATCTCGATGAAATTTGGCACACATATAGAACATAGTCTAGAAGAACACAGGCTACTAATTACGTTTATTTTTATATCGGGTGGCCGGAGTCGCAGGCGTCGGCTAGTTAAATTATAATTTCAGTAATTCTGTCTGAATACAGTCGATTCGGTCTTTAGACGTTTACGGGTTCGGTGATTAAAAAATCTGGTAAACGTCAATTAGTGAAACATTTGTTTTAGGTCAAGTCGGCAGTAATTAGTGCAAAGATTAAGCAGCACGTTTTCAACACTTATACTCCTCCTGCAACTACCCCTACCCCTAACGAACCCCTTGAATACACTCTTGACATTTTCCTTGTGCCAATTATTTTGCTTTTATTTCCTACGTTGATTACTTTTCTTTTCTTGAAAATCATTCACATTGAAACCTTTTAATTTTCTTTTCTTGCTTTAATTTTTCAAAGATAAAAATATTCATCTCTAACAACATATACTTAGCGCCCATGGCTATATGGTAAAGGGTACGGACTTCCGATCATGAGATCGGGGGTTCGAATCCCGACATTTGACTATTGTCGTAAACTATGTCCAAAAAGTGTAGAACTTAGTTGGAATGGTACAAGAAATATTAGTAAATTTAAAAAAAAATCTGCTACTATTTTAATAAAAAATTTACAGTTGTAGTAAACTGAGATAATTTCGCAATAAACTACTTAGAACTTGAATAAACTAGTTAGTAATATGTTATTTTCATATATATACTATGTAAAATATACATCATTGTTTATTAGCATTGCAATGTCAATAAAGAGCGAGAAATATTTGCTCTGTGATTGCGCGCTTGCATATTAAAGCTGTACACTCGGGGCCCATAATACCGCCCGACTACGCCAGAATATGCTTACATTTTATTTTGCTTCAACTACGACATTTAATATTAACACTGTCATTTTATTACAAATCAACAATACAATAAATATAAATCGACACGATTTACGTGTTAAAAACATATTTTTAAAACACGCAATGGTCTAATTTAGTGAACTCATTTTTTTGTATAACTCTTTTCATATATCTTGGCGGCTCTAGATCCTCGGCGCGCTGCACAGTGCACTCCCACCTACATCTAAAATGGTGGTCTGCGCAGCGACCTAGATCCGCAAAGATATCTAAAAACATTTATAAATAAATAGAAAAATAATGTAAGAGTTGTAATATTTTGTAAATGTATGCTTTAAATATTATTTATAACAAATTAAAATACGAAAAAATTATTTTAACAGTCGTCGTAACCCAGATTTAAAATATTAAAAACATTAAAAAAAAAGTCAAAATCGCATTTACATTAAAAGTGTTCCAGAAATACGCGGCCATTTGAACATGAATGCAATTAGGTCGAGCGCCTTCGCAGCGACTTTTTAAAACTTAACCCTTTACTTGTACCGTGCTTACATTTTATGCAGATGTATTTCAAAATTATTTCTATTTCGCTTTTTTTAATAATATGTCTCTAGAGACTTTACAAATTAGTTTTTTCAAACAATCATTAACAATAATAGCATTTTACATGAAAATGTATGCCATCAACAAAACTAACTAAATCACACTAGTTTTGTGCATTTTGTACGGGATTTTCCGAATACGTAAACACGTTAAAAAACAAAAGGTCATTTCGTTGGTATTTTGCTATGTTATAATTAATATAAGTAAAAAATCCTGTTTTTTACATTTAGGTTTACTCCATAACATTTATCCGTTAATATCTTTGACATTTATGTTAAAGTGTGGCCAAATTCGTATACACGGATATTATTTTAAGTTTTAAATTATCAGTAAAAAGCTTAGTGTTAACTGGAAGTATTTATAAAGATATAAATTTAATTATAACGCGATTGTATATAAGTGGGATTCAGCCGAGATCTACGATGTTAGTGCCCATAACTGATGTTCGTTTTGACCAACTTTGTATAATTCTTTTCACACATCTTGCCGGCTCAAGGTCATCAGCGCGCTGCGCCATGTCCTCCCGCATCCCGCAACGTTCCACTACACTTAACATTGTATTCTGCACAGCGACTCACGCAAAGTTACAACCGACGAGATATCTGAATACTTTTATAATAAGCTGCTTTAAAATAAACTATTCAATAATAAATATCGAGTCAATTATTAATTATATACGAATGGAATATTAATAAAAATAGCAATGGGTTTCTGAAAGTATCGTATCGCGTGATAAAGTGCTCATTACGCGGCTAATACGAGCTGTCGTTAGCACGCATCTGTATCATTAAATCGTTGTGTAATGATACAATGATAAAATATCATTAACACACAACTCATTTACAAATAATGATATTATTATTAGTTTTATATCAGCTATGACCTGAGGTAACATGCACACATAAATCAAATATTGATTTTTTTTTCAAGGAGAAAATAAATTAATAGGAATTTGATCTACTAATATTTACAGCAAATTCTAGCTACGTAGTCACAATTTTTTAATTTTAATTATTATCAGCAAGTCCGAAAAATTTCAAGCAAAAAAACGGCCATTTTCTTAAAATGGCATCGCCGTTAGCAGCAGCAGCGTGAAGCATTAGCAAAACATTTCTGTCATTTTTTATTTATAAAAAGTACACTTTGTTTTATAAACGAAAGTAAAGAAGGAAACATTTTACTGTCGATTAATTGAACTTTATAAGGAAAATTGATTTGCACTCGTTGTTCGAAGAAATGTTTATTTTATGGGTTTTTAATCGTATCATGTGGTAAAGTCGGTTTAACTTGACAAGAGATGCAAAGATGCATCAGAAAATTTGCCTGATTGAAAGTAAAAAAATTTATAAATCCCGTCTTTTACTCTAACGTTTCTTAAAAGTAGAACTTTAGAAAAAAGTTATAAATTACAAATTGGTAATAACTAAATGCTTATATTGAGACGTTAATATAGATATGTTTAATAAAAAATCTCAGCAAGATTCATATTTTAAATGCAACGCTGCAGTTTCGATGTAGCAGTAACGCTTTCAACAATTCAAAATCGCTTTTTTGCTTTGTTCATTTCTCCAGAACAAAGAACTTGTTAATTATTCCGAGAGAAACTTAACAAAAAATAATATTACAGTATAACAAACTTTAGAACTTAAAATGAACATTGTAAGATGTAAATATTTAAACATTTTGCTTTATTTTTAATCAATTTTGCAGTAGTACGAGGTTATAGTGTAATTTTTTTATTATTTCAAGCTGTAACAGTTTAGAAACTTGATAAATACATTATTTTTTGGCTTCTATTTCCTACTAATTTTATTTCTGAACAAGGACCATACATGCTCTATTTGATTCTCTAAAGTTGTTTAATCTGTACACGTATTACACAAATAAACTGGAGGCTAGAGTTTTATGAAAATGGGAATGAATAAAAAATAGCCTTCTTCTTTACCTCTTGTTCTCTGTTTTTAAAAGTAGACAACTCATCTCCAGCCTTTTAAATTATTGCAGAGGACTATGAGCAGCGCCCACTATATTTTTGATGGCAACTTTCTCCTTTCCCCTCTAGTATGCAATGATAAGTGAGTGATGCTATGTGCATATTGTTTTGTTCCAGGCGCTATTCCTATGGTGACAGCGACGGTGTACTGTGCGCCTGCGCCGCTGCGATACGCCGCGCTCGCTGTCTACTGCCTCGGTAGCTTGCTTGGACTTTATAAAGTAAGCCCTATATGATATATGTTTAATATTCAGAGACCAGAAAACATCTGGAATTAATCAATAACCCGATGTTTGTCAGGCAATGCGCGCGTGGTCGCCGTGGGAGCGTCGGCTATGCTTCGCCGCGCCGTTCTGCATGCGGCTGTTGTTGGCGGGTGCACGTGCTGCGAGGCTCGGAGGCGGCAACCCACACGCCATACTTCACGTCTTCTTACAAGTAAGACTTACACAATAAAACCTCATTCATGTAATAACTGTTGAAGCGTTTATACGGGATCGCGAAACCTCAAATGTGCGACGAAACAAGTGACGAATCAAATGGGATGTCTAGACAAAAATTAAACTATACGTGACCTTTTTTCTATGTCGTCAGCGAGTTCTGTTTATACCTATTTTTTTTTTATTTGAATCGTGGAAAGTTCGACGTACACATTACTTATATTCGTTAGTAAACACTCTTTATATAGTATCTATTTAGTTATATAATACATTAAAATTTCTACATGTTTATCATAACATAAGAGATGAGAGAGCCACAGGAGAATCATATTAACAAGGTATAAAAAAATATAATTTCATATCCACGTTAACCCCCTCACGTCCACTGAATGCCCCACGTAAGCTTGTTACACATGAATTGTGAAACTTAATTGGAAAACGGTGTTCCGTAGCTTCAATATTCACCACAATATAGATACAACTATGATAATGTACTAGTTTGTTTAAGAATTTTAAAATAATAGTCATGTTTAAAAAGTTTATCGATATATAAATAACTGTGGATTTCCATTGTCGATAAACTTTTACAAAAAATATTTAGTTACAGCTTTTTAAAATACCTGATATATTTTTGTACACGTATTTCAGCTGTGAAACTCAGCTTTAAATATTTTCATATTTTTTTCTTTACAACCTGTCACCCACAACTCCGTCCGCACGAAATTAAAAAAAAAACATTAGTAGCCTATGTGCCATCCAGTCTATGCTCTATATACATGCCAAATTTCAGTGAGATCCGTTGAGCCGTTCTGGAGATACCTACAAACATCCAACCGTCTAAACATTCGCATTTATAATATTAGTAAGATTGTACCTGTATGTACCTATAACTTGGTATTTACTTTGTCTTGTAACGGAACGACTACCGAAACACTCTACAAGACTAACGTTTTACGATAAGAGGGCAAAGGTATTTCCGAAGACGTTACATTTTAACGACATCCGCAAACCAAACACTAACTCGTAAGCCATTTAGAACTTTCCCAGACGTCTAATATACTTTGAGACTTAAGTATTTAGCGAAAACCTTCTCATTGATCTATTAACTCTACAAAGTTTTATTTTTATTTGTTTTAGGAAAACTAAAATTATAATTACAGACTTAATAAATAAAGACTAATATATAAAAGAACGTTACACAAATCTTTTATGACAATCTTACTAATATTATAAATGCGAACATTTAGATGGATAGATAATTGTTTGAAAGTCCACGACTGCTGAACGGATCTTGATGATAATTGGCACACATATATATAGAACATAATCCGGAATAACACACAGGCTACTAATTGTGTTTTTCAATTCCGTATAGACGGAGTCACAGACAACTGCTAGTCCATACGTAACTACGAGAACATAGATTGTATTGCTTTAGTACAATCTTATTCAGTACGGACAATGGTCAACTTTATTTTATTGGGTACTAATCACTTATTCATTTATTAACTTTATTCTTAATATATTACATTTCATATAAAAAAATTATACAAAATATATTATATTAAAAATAGAGCACCACCGGCTGCGGAGTCCCATGACTCAAACAACCAGTGGTCAGGGCTACAGAGACAGGAACCTTCTCACTATACGCGCGGTTTCTAGGATAACTGCCTTTTGTATCGGGCCCTTAATCCAACTGTGTAGCGAGAGCTCCTTGAGATGTTGGTCGAAGCTATTCGCTTTATTGGGTATATTATTAAGTTTGTAAAACATTCTTTTGTATTCTGGTTGAAATAATTTTTGAAGCGAACTATTCGTAAAGTCAGTGACAATGGAAATCGATTAGCCTAATTGTGGAATGATGTCGGAATTACTGCAAGTGATCCGTGTTATTTACGGCACGTCACGCTCCGCCCTGAGCGCAGTCTGCGACTGAAAACCATTTTTTATTCCTCGCTAATATAATGCTAAACAAGTTAAAAAGCTAGACAGAATAACAATATACAGTTAAAAGTAAATAACTGGATAATAGAAATAAACTATGGATTCCAAATATGAGTTTTTGTTCCTTAAACTATTTTGGAAAATATTAAAACGTCAATACTTCCATTGTATACAGGATAATCAAATGATTTTTTGAAAACAACATTTTGGTTTTCCTTTTTTTATGTAAAGGTAAATTGTATAGGATAAATTAACATAACAAATTCGTTGTTAAAACTGGAAAACTTTGCGTATTATACTTTATTCAAATCGCAAATAGTAATATTTATTGGTATGAGATTGTATTTGACCAAATAAAATCCACCCTAAATGGCGTACTCACAGTCAGTTCGTCATTAAACCTGTCCCGTACTGTAGATTTCTTATATTACATTTATACTTAGGGCTAGAGACCTTACTTAGTGACCAATTAACTCTTTATGCGGTTAGATAATTCCTCTATACGTTACATAAAAGTACAATGTTATATAACACACGTAAGTCTGAAATGTAAGTTACATTGGGAAGTTCAAGCAGAGAGCGACGAGGCGTGGCCTGAACACAGTTGGCACCACGCCAAATGACATGTTACAAATCTGCCAACCGTTCACAATCGAAAACCGTGCTTTATTATTATACTAGTTAACAATATACATGTTAAAATATCGCCATTGAAATGATGCTGAACATACAATGCTTTCGATTCTAATACTCTAAAATAACTTTGGTCCTTGTCTTATAAAAAAGACCAAAGTCTTAATATAGTTTTTATAGCGGTTAAAAATTTGCCGGGGTACCCATACTATCTTGATATTTCGTTCTCTTTTAATTCTCTGATTATATTCGTTATATTTTTTTTTAAACGTGACCTTCTTTTTGTCTTCTGCGATAAAATTGGAGCTATATTATTTTTCAGCTAACAACTGACTACACAAATCGCTTCTGGTTTACAGTATCATTTGAGGCTGAGGCTGGATTTTTTTGTCAAAGGGGATTAATAAACAGCAGATGCTGAAACTTTTAGACGAAACAATTAGTGTAAAAGTCTTTGTTGCTGTTATAAATTTTCATTATTGTAAATATAAAAATCGTCTCTATGTTTGCACAAAGCGAGAGAGGCACGTGTTGGCAGCGCGCCAAATGATATGCATGAACTTTGTGAATCCCCACATGTTTTTAAAATTTTTACATTGCATTCTTTTATTATTAGCTATAATAACTTTATTAATAAGGTGAGAGGACGCTAAAGAATTTCTTCTAAGTCCGCATATGGATATCCTACTTTAATAAATCAAATTTGAATATATTCACGTATAGCTGTCGCCCGCGACTCCATACGCGCTAAATTTAACAAAAACTTAATGAGTAGCCAATGTGTTCTTTTAGACTATGGTCTACACGTATGCCAAATTTAAGTGGATCTTTCAGGGATGTTGTTCAAATTTTGCATAGATGTAGAACATAACCTGGAAGAACACACAGGTTACTTGTTAAGTTTTTTTTTATACCGCGCGGACGGAGTCGCGAGCGACAGCTAGTCTGCTTGTAAATGACAACTACAATTTTGAGAAACAATTAAAATGTAATTAATTTATCAAAATAAATGATTAATTAAGGAAAGTCTTGTTAATTTAAACTTAATTGTTCTTGGAAATCTCAAATCCAATAAATATATTTAATTGAATCATAATAATTAATTCAATTAATTTGAACTTTAACATTTTCAAAGAATATATTTATCGGGAGTTTTCACAAGAAACATTTGTCAATATGTGTTCTGGGTTTCCTCTGTCTTGTCTGGGGTCTGGGAATCTCGTAAATTATGACCTAATTGTGATCGGGAAAATCTAAATATGTAACGGTGGAATTCCATTGATGAAATGATATAAAAACACATTATTATCTGACTCAATTTGGACAAATAGATATACATAAAAAATGTTTTTATACAGATGTTTCCGCAGTGAAAATGCAGGGTTAAGTATAGTAAAACTGGCACATAAATATTGTTACACTAGTATGTTATAAGATTTAGAAATGAAGTTCATATGATACAAAAGGCCCATAGTAGATAAAATTAATTACAATTCCAGTGCTACCCCTGCGCTAGCGACTTTCCTCTAATGTATAAATCCTAACGGCATTGAAAGTGTTAATGAATTTGACCTAACGTGTTTCAGGACGCCGTATCTCTGGGCGGGGGCGTGATAGGGGCGATGCATATCCCGGAGAAGTGGTTCCCCGGCGCTGTGGACCGCTGCCTCAATTCCCACAATATTATGCACGTCCTCGTCGTCCTAGCCGTCTACTCCATGCATCAGGTATGTTATACTTATATACATTGATATGTATGAAAAAGACTAATACCTATGTACTAGTCTTTTCAAATATCTTGGGGGTTCAAGTCCATCGGTGTGCTGCGCACTGTCCTCTTCTTGCATCACTCTACGCCCCGCTACGCCAAAATTATGATCTGCGCAGCGACTCACGCAAACTTAAGAGCTGCCAAGATATTTGAAAAGACTTATATTAAAGATAAAGATTAAATTTTTAAATTAAGTCTATAAAACATCAAATACAAGCAGAAATTAAAATAAAAATACAAATTCATAAAACAAAACATACCCTGTTGGCGTCATTATTTATAAAAAAAAATGGTGATAGGATATAAAGTAATAACGTTCAATAAATATTATTAATAAAGTTGTTTATAATCAGATTCGACAACCGCATGAATCATTTGCAAAATAATCTGTCAAACGAAAACAATATTTATCACAAACACCAAACCAAACCACAGCACGGAGTATTCCTGTTTACTTTGTTATTAATACAGACCAAAAGTAAAACGCAATACAATAAGTAACAAACAAGGATGTTATATACAACAAAATACATAAGGATGGAAGACGTACAACACTTGATTAAACGCATTGTTAATATAGACAAGAAAAAAAGACGGCAGAAAATATATAGTCAAAATGATGTAACGATGTCTTCTTCATATAACTATATAAATGAAAATAATAAAATTTACGTCTAATATATTTGCCTAGAATAATAACTAAGTCAATCCCAAAACCTGTTAAGTGACCTATCTTATTTGTTAAAATCTATCCAAACACGTAAAAGATGGATAGTTTCAAACAAGTTTGACGGCTAATCGAGAGACGATTTTCGAAAAGTCATTTTGTATTGTAACTCACAACGTTAAGGAAATCTATCCCAAAAGACGGCCTTTGGACGGTTTTTTCGCCTTATTTTTGTGTTCCAAATTTTTTAGGTAACAAATCTACGTTGCAACGATTGAATAACATTTAAAATAAATTTTTGTCTCTTCCAAATTATATTTCCAATGTAAGCGATTCGTTTTGCTTTTGTAACGATTCTTTGTAGACTTCATTTTTAACGGATAAGTCAGAATTTTTAGTTCATTATTAAAACAACTACTTTTATCTCGCTTTTATTTATAATAATACTATGTTTCAGGTGACCACACTAGACCTGGCGTGGATGTCGCGTGTAGACTGCCACGCGCCGTTGCGCCATCTTTGACGGTGATCGCCGTCCTCCCCCCTCCCCCCACTGATGTCTACCACAATCCTCCATACACGCTAACACCATACAAACATTACAATACAAAGTGTCGACTAAACAGTAACTACATTGTGGTTTTTAGCCAAAACGATTAATTTATTTTTAATTTGAAATTTATTGTTTCAAATAACACTTCTTAAATCAATTTATTACGTCAATGATTGGTTTAAAATGATCAGAACTACAAAGCAAGGGCAATCGAAATGTAGAAGAAAGAAAAGAAGGAAAATTTATATCGAAAATATTTTGTCTAGTCATCTTACTTAAAAACATTTCGTCAGATCTACATATAAGTGTTGATTACAAACATACTGTACTTGGAAAATATACAAAAAAAATGCTGGAAAAAACCAAACATATTAATGTTATATTCCATTTTATCTATTCATTCATGTCGTGGTCAGATTATAGAATAGTTTGAAAAAGAGACCATGAAATATAAACTTTTTATATCTTAAAAAAAGTTGAATATTCATTGATATGTCTAGTCATAAAATGGCCTATTATCTGACCACGATATGTTGATTAGCTGTCATAAAATTAATTCAAACTTATAATAATATAAACACGTGTGATTCCATGAAGATTTATTTATTACTTACATGCAATATTTCTATTTATTTTTATTGAAAAATACACCAAAACTACAATAAATAAGTAAACTGTATCTTCTATAATATTCACTATAAATCATAAGTCAAAAATTTACTGTAAATTATTTGTTCTATAGATAAATAAATTTGTGAAGAGTTCTTAGATGACAATATAACGGCCTACATACATGTCGTAATACATTAATTGATTTTATATTTAAATAGAAGACGTAATTATTATATGACTTAAACATTAAATGCGTTAATCATTTTCAGACGTTACATAATTACGTATAGATAGATACGGCTATTAAAAATATGTTAGTAATAAAGTACAATTATAAAATTGTGATTATACAAGTACATCAGAGTTAGTTAATTATCCATTTTATGTTTATTTAGACAAAATTTTTCCATAGATTTTTTTTCTTTGTAAGTTAAATGTTAATCGTTAGATGAAATTATAAATTAATATAGATAAGCTTATATAGATTACAGAAGCACTGAATTAGTGCTTAGTATTCGAACGAGGCTAACCTATTTTAAGGGTGACTAGGCCATAGTCAACCACGATGGCTTATAGCGGGTTGATTAACACAACTTTAATTTTACTTGCAGATATGCAGGTTGCAACGATGTTTTTCTTCGCCGTAAGAATAATGGATAAATGGTTATTAGAGAGTAAAAAATCGATATAACCATTGGTTCAAGACGGGAATCGAAAGCGAACTTGTAGATTACAATTCCGGTGATTAACCACTGCGCCACCGACGCTCTAGTACTTGGTTTTAATGAAATGTTAAAAATATAAGCGAAAAAGGTTAAAAATAACACATGTTCGTTTAACTATACTTCAATAATTCGTGTTTTATAAACAATTTTAGTGCTACGGACACGCCATGCGAGGTTACCCTGTATGTCACCACGTGTACCATGTAGCTTACGTGTCGGAGTGGCACTCAATGTTTTACGGGATTATTTGAAAAACCCATATGTTTAGTAATATTAGAATAAATGACTCAATTAATATGATATTTAAATCTGCGTCTTGTGTTAGTTAGTCGCCACTGGGATGATGATTTTAAGTAAAATTCGTCACATGAATTTCATATTTCCTCTGATTCACAAACCATGAGTTTGTGTAAATTTAACAAAGTAAAGACGCATTTATTTCTGTTTTGTTGCAAATTAGTAAATGCTAACGTAATCTTAACTATAAATTAGATAATTTCAATATTAGATTTAATTTCTAAATAAATATCCAGTAGTTGATAGTTATAAGTAATAATTGGTAGAAATAGGTAGTTTTCAAGCAATAATTCGAAATGAGAATTTCGGTAATAAAACTTGTAGGGAAATACTTAAAAAATTTATTATTATTTATTTATTTCTCTCTGCATTTTAGACGAAATTATATTGCTATTTATTATTTTACAAAAAATATACTAATTTATTTAGATATGAAATATATAAAACGCTTATTAAAAGAAAGATAAATAGTAAAATACGATACTTTTCTTAACTAATTTTATTTTAATACAATTTCCCTTAAAATACGAAGAACTTTTAACAAAAGTTTACGGTCCAGACCTTAATTAATCTTTATCAAAGCTTATTAATAACTATATAAATATTAACTCTGCGCTATTTTTATCAAAGCAAAATATTTATATTTTTGGAATATTTATTAAAATGCTTATTCATCCAAATTACTTTTTAATATGCTAAAACCTAAAATATATAAATCCCATAAAATACGATTATTCAAAATATCTTTTGTTATTTAATTTCATATAGATTTTAATATTTTTCTCCCGCTCTGGTATTAAGTATATTTTTCTATGAAAACAAAAACCATTGCGTTCAGCTAAATTTATGTAAATAAAGAGCAGACAGTTCTTTTGGCAAGATTATGGTAATTACAAAAATACTATAAAGATGTTAAATTTTAACAGTATTTTATGTAAAATGCATTGATACTTTCCTCTCCAATGCAATTTGTAATTATTTATATATAATTACGTAATTTATTTAAATAAAACTGCACCATAAGAATAAATAAGTTCAATTTTCCTTCTTACTCAGACATATTTATATCAAATAATAACAATATTGGTTACGTTTCTGTGATTATAAAGTTATTAAACATGTTTATTTGACTGTCATGACACTAAAACTAAAGCTCTTTGTAGACAAGGAAACGTAAATCGTCAAAACTTATACTTAGTATTAAGTATCGCGTTGCACTCGCTCCGTACAGACAACGTTGAATCGTCGACGTTAGTCGTATATTTTCTCAGTACAGGTATAGTCTTTACAAAATGATAATACTAAACTTACTACGTATTTTAAAAATGTTTCCGCCATCTTGAAAATCGTGACGTCTTTTATCACAACCATCTTGATTCTTGGCAAATACGTAGGTGAACGACTTATTTGAAGAGGAAAGAGGAAAATGTCGGCGACATCTTCCTGTGTACGAACCTCTATAATATCGTATTGCGCAAGTCACGACTAAAATCGCCTGGTTTTGAAGATTTATACGTCGTTTTGTGTACCAAGGGCCTTATGTTAATACATATTGTTGTCTTTGTTTTGTCACATAGATTGAAAAGGGATGTCAGTATGCATTAGAATTAATACAAGTGTCACTACAGTGTAGCTCTACGGTTATTTACAGGATGTTCGGAAAAAAAACGTGTATAATTTATAATCGTGTAATTTTTTATTTAACCATGAAATATGTTAAATAATTACTATTATAATTCGATATCGAGATATATACAATGGCCGTGAAATTTAAAATCAAAAAAATATTAAAACCGCAATTAAACATTTTTTTCGGAATAATTTAACAAAACAAATAACTTGAAATAATAATCTAATTATTTAGTTATCGGAAGATTGTAACAGCTAATAGCTATCGATGTACTATAGACTTATTGAGCAAGTGTGTCGTACTCAAAGTAGAGAAATCGTGTCTCTCATTAGACAAATCTACACTAAGGGACTCACTGACCGATTAACGATTGTATCAATAAGTATAGCTTAATTTAAATAACAAAAACTTAAAAAGGAAATCACATTAGTTTCATCAGAAATATTAAAAATGTTTAACGAATTGTGCAATCTTGTTTCCAAACCAATACGACTTAGGGTCCTTCAAGAAGCGAGCCTATCACCACCTCAAAGGCCGGCAACGCATCTTCGGTTCCTCTGGTATTACTGATGTCCATAGGCGTCGTTGAACACCTCGGTGTTCCCGCTGCTCGTTTGCCCCCTTCTGTTATAAAAAAAAATTAAATTATCAAATTGTTTAACTGATATGGCTCAAGTTTTAAACATTTGATACTAGAGCCATACAGGTCAAATGATAATGCACAAGTCAAGAAATTTTATATTTTTCTGTCAACACAAAGCATCAACTTCAATGATAACTTTATTAATATTTTATCTATGCAATATTTATATAAATCTTTCCAATCTGTTTATTATTTAAAAAAAAAATATTTTTATTAAGTTGCATTTATAGTATACATATTTATATTAACTTTAAAAAAAATCATATGTACCAAATAAATCGTTAAACTTAATAAGCAAATATGAAATAAGTGTCCTACATAAAGGAAATATTTTCTTTTTAAAATCTACTTAAACTTCTAAATAATTATTACTATTAGATACGACGCTTTCGGACCCAAAAACATTTACAGTGGTATTCTGAATCCAAAATCTCCGTTTAAAACATATTGTTATATCTGTATTGTCAAAGATGACGATATGTTTTATACAGAGATTTGCTATCAGAAACCCACGGTTAGAATTTAACCGATTAAAGTTAATTAGGATCTAAACATAATTATGTTTTGCATAATTTTAAGAATTTTATTATTTCAAATTAGTGTAATAAGTTAGCGATAATAACTGCTTTAAAATAATTAGTATAATTATATTTATTGATACGTAAATCCAAATTGAGATATAAAAGACCATTTTGAAATTAGAAAAATTGCGCAATAAAGCGTTTTCGATGACTCAATGATTGTTTTTATAAGACGCCATTGTGATTAATTTATATGTTCAAATAAGTAATAAGTTTGAACAAAACAACAAAAACAAAAGAATATAACTTATCTTTCAACAAATAATCCGGATGAAAGGATGCATGGAAAGTTAAAATATTTTCTTTCTGTGCATCCTCTCCTCCGTCGATTAAAGGTAGGCAACGCATATGCAATTGCGTATGTCTATGGGCAACGGTCACCTCGCTATTTCAGCGATTTCAGGTGGCCGCTCGCTCGTTTGCCACCTTATGATATAAAAAAAAAACAAATAATTAAGACAACAGAAATAATGCAGATCTTTCATAACTTATACATCGCCGCCTGAGAAGCTCGGAGCCTACCCTCACTTAAGGCTAAGTACCCGATAGCCAACCACGCTGGCCTAGTGGGGGTTGGTTGATAGAACTTAGATCTTCTTTACGACAATTGAAATTATAGAAACATTATGTTAATATTGATTAATAGACTAATTGACACGTAAATATTGCCTGATCGAGGATTTCCACTGCAGTGACTGATTTTCGCTAAAAAAATAAGAAAAACAATATTTGAGGTTAGAAAAAAACGGTAACATTGTTAAATTGATGCATTTTATGTACTTCCAAATCACTTTTCAGATTTTTATCTCTCCACAACTTTTATTAATTGAAATATACAAAGAATACTTTATGTAACATTAGACAAAAGGAAAATTTCATTCGATATATTATGTTATATTTTCTAGATTAATAGAAAATTCTAAAGATATAATATTCCCGTTGGTAATTACGTTTTACATAGAAGCGATAATAAGACGCGTAACAAACATATTAATCTTTATATCTTTAGTTTGCAGATAATATGAACAACTAATATATATCAAAATCTATTCCTACGTAATATGCACTATATATACCTAAACAATATGACTAACCGTGGGTTTCTGGGACAAAATCTCTGTATAAAACATATCGTCATTCCTCTCATTATCTTTGACCAAACAATGATAATAACAAGATGTTTTAAACGGGGATTTTGGTCCCAAAAACCCAAGATTACATCCACATTCAGTCATTGGGAAATCAACACTAAAGTGCTGATTTTAGTCCTCGCCGAATAATAAACAAATAATGTAACCTATTAACTCAGTGATAATGTAGCTCACGGTAAAAGAATTTTTGAAATTGATGCAGTAGTTTTTGAGTTTATTCGTTACATACAAAAATACAAATCTTTCCCCTTTATAATATCTATACTACTATTAACATAGATAAAACTATGAGAGTGACAGTTACTATTTTTTTTTTTAATCACGGGTTAATTTTTGATCTGAATAAATTGATGTCAAAAATTCAGCCACATATATTAATTATGTTAAATAAAATACAAATATTGATTACCTTGTTTTAATAACTGCATGATGATAGTATAATATATAAGTTTGAGATGTTAATGTATAAAACGACAAGTAACAGATAACTAACCATATATCACTTACCGTGGATTTCTGAGACCGATAGCTTGATTTAAAATATCACTGTTTTCTTAATGATAATAATAGGGATGATGTATTAATCTCAGAAACCCTCTGTAAACGATATTGTAAATAAAAGCAAACATATAAGTGATACTTGAGAGCAATATATCAGTATTTTAAACTTTTGTCCATAAATCGGACGAGGAAGTGTTGAGCATTATTGCACTGTCTTGGTTTTTATGATATACAGTCGATTGATATTCGCAAAATTGTAGACGTTAAATGACATTAAAATTTATTTGAATTCAATTTAAACCATGTTTTATTTCGTACCTAAATGTATTTAAGAGAGATGCCACAACGGCGCGGCGAAGCAGATGCACAGGATTGACGTGCCACACGACCAAATGCTTGTAAAAGCATTTCAAAACGTCCCTGTGTCTTTGAGCGGGTTATAACTGTCGACAAAGTTATATAAAAAGTGTTTTAATCCCGTTCAGTGTCTTTGAAGAAATAGAGACAAAAAATGTACTTAACACAACTGTCACTACAGCCAGTTTGAATTTGGAAATATAATGCATTTATACATATTAATAAAATACAAGTGTCCGTTTGTAATATCGAGATAAAAATTGACATTGTTTTGTTTTTACTTGACAGTATTTTGACATTAGCATTTTAAGGCATGTCAGTTTCAGCAGTATACTTGTAATTAATGTTTTTACAACGCACTTGTTTCTCACTAAATTCTTAGCAAAATTAATACAGTTATCATGAACGTTGCACCAGAAGATACACTTTTGTTTCATTCTAATTCGGATAAAAGTTAATATGATAAGTATAAATGATTGTTGCAAAAACCAGTGAAATTTTGACAAACGCGAAAAGTTACACAATGTGATTTAATATTTATGAAGTTCAAGTGTACGAAGTAAACGTCTTCAAAACATTTCTTATCAGTAGAAGAGAACAAAATAAAAACAGGTATGTGGATTCCTCGCAGTACCTGCATGTCTAGAGATTTAGAAAATCTTAGCTAAATCCTAATTGATGGTAGATACACATTTATTTCCTACAACATTGATAATGTAGGAATGATATTTTACAAGGGTAATGTTATCTGTTTCCGATACATGAATAAAGTATTTGTTATTCTGAGCTCATTTGCACGGGCGCTTTTTTATCGCACGTTAAAAAAACGTTCTAATAGGAACAACTTTCGAATGAAGGAATCTTTAAAATAACCCTTTCCTTCTTATAGTCCTCAAACTGCGTTTTAAAGCACTGCGTATGAAAGGAAAAGATGGAAATGCATTGTTTAAAAAAACGCCTTTGCGAGTGGTGGCTAAAGTAATTTTATTTATTATACCAGAGACACGGTTTTGAACTGTTCCTATTAAAAAAAAAAACTGGGAACAATGATCTACGAAAGAAGAAAACGAAAACAAAATCCTATACCATATTATAAATAATAATTTTCAAACAATTAATAACGGAACAATTAAATAAATGAACAATAAGTGTTGTCGCGCACTTGGTTTTCCGCGAGCGACATCAAATATAAACGAGAGGCGAGCGACGGCGCGAAGAATTCCGAAGCCATGGCCCGACAAGAGAGGTCGTTATTCGTTGTTGCCGCGCTATGCGTGTGCACGTGTGTCGTCTCTGCGCGACCCGATTCTTCAAATCATCTAGTACAAAAACTAGAAACAAGTGAGTAAATAAACAATTATCTGTGAATTAATTACAGCGAAAATATATTCAAATCAAGATGTGTGTTTCAAATTGATATTTTCTTTGTTATTTTTTGTGATGTGTGAAATACGATAAGCAATAACTACGATGAGCCGACGCGACGCCTCGGAACTAATTATGTGAGTGAACTTTGTCGAGGGTAATTTCGTTAAATGCTAATTGGTAAACACGCGCCGCGAGGAAACTGTTCGTATACTCCGTTCTGGTGACAAATGATATCGAAGTAACCGGTTTTGAATTAAAAGTAATATTGAATTAAACTAAAAAACTGCATAACTGAATTTACACTAAAAGAAAATAATTAAGTTTTTTGCTGATTTACTGAACATTAATCAATTAATTAAAAAACTGTTAAAGTTTGTCGGGCAACACAAAGTGGCATTTAAATATTGACATGAGTAAAAAGCAAACTCGTTTCCAACGATTACTCACGTTTGGAAATATACAAGATGTTGCCTTGGTAGAAATGGCGCGGGTATTTCCAATACAATGTTACAGTGCATATATTATGGAATATTTCTTCTGAGGATCTTTACTTTTGCTATCTTCGTTAAATATTATCACTGCAGAGGGCATACGACCGCGACCTTTTATCAAAGTGTCAAAGCACGTGTAGATGTGAGCAAGTTCGTTTATAAACATTAAAAAAAAATAAACGATAAGTCGTACCAACATATTGAATTAATAAAAAATATAAAGACTTATTTAATCTAAAAAGTTTTAACGTTTTTGGCTACATAGATAGTACTAGATAGTGAGTGTGGAAAACAGTAGCCGCATACCAAGGTCGCGAAGATATTTGGATATGAGTTTATATAAATGTCACAAATATTAACAAATTTAAAGTATTGCATATATGCATACGTTTAAAGGTTATTTTGTTTATTTATTTTGAAGCCGCTATCTTAAACTCGTTTTGAACACTTAATTTGAACTGGTTTTTCCAAGTTAGAAGACTTACGAACAAGTAAATCAAGTATAAATTTAAAATATAATTGAACCTCCAATTATTTATTATCATAATACACAATACGTGTCATTTGGCGTTGTAGTATGTGGCTAATCTTATGCTAGATCACAGAAGAGCAGAACTGTAAACAGTACAGTACTGCAATTGTTTAAAACGAAAACGCAATACTAATACTGAACTGTACTACTGCTCTACCTTACTTTTTCGCCTTATGTGAAACTAAATATTACTGCGGTTGAAATTGCTAACAGTTATGCAGCACAACAACGGAGTGGAGTAACCATGGTAACGGCAAATCCAAAATTGTTACGCCGTAATAGGCTCTGGTAAATGAAGAATATATCGTCAAGGTCTCTTTATCTTCAGATGTGTAGGTATAATACCCAAGTTCCGGTTGTCTGAGGAATAGGAGTTCCAATAATAATAGAAAAATACCTGCTTTTGACGATAAGAAAAGCGATCATTCAAATGCACAGCAATTAAACATATAATCGATGTGTCATTTGCTAGCAATTAGCGGACAACTTGTTTACTGCGACAATGAGGACGAAATGACGCCACATTTGAGCCTTATCTATACACACAAAATGACTTGTTATTAAAGATTTCTTTATGTTATGTTACAATCAATTTCTTTGAGTCTTCATACGTTGCTGTAGTTAAAACAGACCAACAAATATTTTGCATTTGGTGAATGAATTATCCACTGAGTTTTTGTGAAAACAATTGACAATCTTACTTCTTACCAATATGATAAATGCGAATGTCTCGATGGATGTTTGTTTGAAGGTATCTCCGAAACGGCTCGACGGATTTTAATGAAATTTGGCACACATATAGAATATAGTCTGGAATACAGTCTACTTATTAAGATTTTATTCCGCGCAGTCGGAATCGCGGGCGACAGATAGTATTAAAGTAAAACAATGTAACTGTCTAGCCTCAACTTGACTGAAAGGGAATGAGACATTGCATTGTATTCGTGTATTGTAAATGTTCCTACGATAGTTATAACACGGTGTAAATAAAATATAATAATTTTATACAGCTTCGTGAGATTAAATATTATTTATACAATACGAGTATTCAAATCGATAAAAACAATGACACAAAGTCATCTGTCATTTGTTCCAATATGATAAGAATGCATACAGGTATGTACTACTATCATTGGGAGGTTTTTTTTCCCAAAAAAAAACGCATGGTTATTGCTTATCGTCATTTTTGGTTGATTAGCTTAACATTAAATCAAGTTATTCTTAAAGTTATTTCGTTATTAAGATTGAATGTGGATGAATACAAAGGTAGACCAAAGGAAGTATGGATGAATGGTATTAAAGAGGATATGCGTAAGAAAAGGGTAGATTCAGATATGACGGCTGACAAAGATGTATGGAGTAATACATACTATGCCGACCTATATGAATAAGGGCTGGAATAAGGTTGATAATGATTTTCTATTGTGAACGGCAAAATAGCTTAGGGGTGGTCAGGGAAATAAAATAAAATATACTTTAATTACAGACTCGATACTTTCAAGATATTATGCTAACGGATTCCTGTTAACGATAGATGCGGTAAACTATAGTGGAAACACAAAGGGCGTGAGCGTACGCAACTTCGAGGAGTCCGAGGAGCGCGAGCATCGCCCTGTCAACGAGAGGTATCCGCATGCAGTGCTGTTCGGCGGCACCTGCGGCGGCACCATAATCAGCCCCAAATGGATCCTGACAGCTGCACATTGGTATGTCACTTTATATATAATACTATAATAACTCCGCCGTGGTAACGTTTACATGTTTGTGATAAGTTGAAGATACAAGATTAACCTTCAAAGGATGGTGGTAGTAACATTACAAAATAGACGAATGAATGAATGATTTAGAATCGGTCTAAAATTTAACACCAAGTCATACTAGTGTCTATAAGTTAAGTATGACGTAGCGATCTAATAAAATGAATACGTTCAATCTTACTAATATTATAAATGCGAATGTTTAGATGAATGGATGTTTGTTTGAAGGTATATCCAGAACTGCTAAACGGATCATGATGAAATTTGGCATGGATATAAAACATAGTCTGGAAGAACACATAGCCTAGCAATTTTTTAATTCCGCGCGAACGGAGTTAGTGACAGCTTATTTGCATATAACATACCTATTTGTTGTTAATTGAAAAGGAAAACCCCATATTATTGAAAACATAGTATTGATTATGTTCTTATTGTAATTAGTTAATAAAGTACCGTCAGCAAAATTAATTAACTAAACAACATTGCATATTAAATTAGTATATAAAGATAAGGCTAAGAGAACGTTTAACACAACAAATTATCCCAAAGGATGTAAATACGGTCAAGGAAGTGATAATTATAACTATAGTAATTAGATCTGCTGTTGAACACTTGATTGTTTACTTCTATTCTTACTACTGTTAAGAAGAAAATTTGACATTGTGCCGGTGGATCGTCGCAACACTAGCTTTATTAAAATGTCAACGTTTATGTCCCCTTACCATTCATTCTGACACTTGACTTGGTAACGAAAACGCGCCATTCGCGCCAAAGGATTCTAACTAATTTCTAAAACTATTTAACGTAAATCTTCGCTAAAGTCATTACGTCATTCGCGTCATTTACGTCTCGCATTATTTTTATCTGTGATTCATTCAGATATTTGACGTGGTTACCCTCTTGTTTGTTTGACAAGATAGTCGGGTACGTACACATGTACCTACGAAGTTTCCATATTTTTGATGCGTCATGATTTTTTTTACCTGCGAGATACTAGACAAAGTATTTTTATTTGTTACTACTATGATAAATGTATGTACACACTTGCCTAATTGCTCGACATCATCAATAGACAAACATCTAACAAGACGTAGATAATAAATTAATAGACTATCGTGTAATTTATAACCTCTATTGTAAGCATTTGTAAATCTTTTTAATTCAATGAAGTTGTCACCAGCGACTCTGACCACGCGGAATTTAAAAAAAAAACTCATACTATAACTATAAGTAGCTTATGTATTCTTGCTATGTTCTATATGTAAGCCAAATTTCATCGCGATCTATGCAGCCGTTCTGGAGATACCTTTAAACATCCATCCATCCACATATTCGCATTTATAAAATTAGTAAGATAATATAACCCCAATGCATTGAACATTGACTATTTTTTAATTTTGACCACATAATCCGGTTTATAAATTGCGTCTAATACAGGTTTAAAATATAATCCCACTTCGATATTAATAGGTCTCAAGTGTAGTCAACGATAAGCTGACGAAGGTCAATATAAAACGAACAAAACAGGTCATCGAATCGACACAAAATGAACAAAGGATCGCTTATACTAACAACATATGTTTATTCGTTGGTTTCTGATACCAATATCCCTGTATAAAACATATCGTCATCCCTCTCATTATGTTTGACAAAACAGAGATAACAATATGTTTCATATATTGATAATGATCTCGGAAACCAACGATAAGACAACATAAACGTTTTCCTTAAGTAAATTTCTGTGAAGTTTAATATGAGAGATAAGTTTGGTCACGATTATAAAAATACCCAAGTTCAAAGCTTCTCTTTAATTATCATCTTAA